ACTTGCCTTTTAGAGCCAAGAGTGCTGGCATTGTTGTACCCCCGCACACAACTGCAAGAGGAGGAATGCAATGTGGTTCTAGGGGTGCAGCAGAAGGGAGGAGGCTACAGTCCCCCGCTTGGTAAAGACCAAGTTCATCAGGATACACCCCTAATGCTGCTAAGTTTCCTGCTGGGAACATCCTGACAGGCAGCTGATACAAGAGGACAGAACCAAGAGAGCAGAGAGCAAAAAAATGAAAGGATGCAAAAAAATGATGGTGTTTCTCCTGCTTACTTTTGGGATGCTGCTATGCCTCAAAGCAGGCTAAAATGGATTTGTCTTCACACTGGGTGCACAGTAATATGGATGAATCGCTATGCAGAATCCAGTGTCCCCTGCTCCAAGTGCTGCTCCCCTATTTATCAAAGAGCTTTAACCAAATAGAGATCTTTGATTCCTTCCTAAGTGTGCAGCCATTCCTAATGAGGAGGTCAATGCCAACTTCAAGTATGGTTCAAGTGTGGTAAAAAGAGTATTTCTAGTGTTCTTTAGAAAAAAATTGTTGCTTATTACTGCCACTGGGAATGAAATGGGGAGCTTAAAGATGATCTGGAAAGAATTTGGAAAAGCAAAGCTTGTATTTACAAACTGTGCATAGCCTTTCTCTGAGAAACAGAAAAGTTCCTGAGGCTAGTGCCTGCAAGAGGATGCCCTAAGAGTCTGTGAAGATATTTATTCTGACCTCCTGGACCTTTGTTCAATGTATGTTCATTGAGGTTAAATAAATAAGCATTAACAAACCCAAAGCTCCAGACCTTCCACTGTCCTGCATTGAGCCAAGACCTTCGGTAAAGAGGCTTAAGTCATGTTTATATTTCCTTTAACCTAAAGACCAAGCACAGCTCAGTCCATCCCGATTATTGAGTGAAAAGGCCTTTATGGCTGCGCTACCTTGCATTCAGCTGCCTGAGAAATCTTCAGAAACCTCTGTAAAGGCAGATCATCACAGCCTGGCATTCCCTGCTCGCTGCAGACACCTTCACATGCAGCACAGGCTGGGGAGAGCAGTCAGTGCCCCAGCCCTGACTTACTTTCACGACAGCCCTCAGGAATCCTCCTGGTATACTGTCTGGCCAGCTTCAGGTAACGCTGCACTGCAGAAATAACATTGCTTAGGCTCTCAGCGCCGGCCCTCAAGCTTTGGCAGCCATCAGGACAAAAGACAATCGATAAATGCAAGTCATTATAATCTTACAGACATCACCTACAACTTTACCTGGACTTACCTGGGTTGATGTGGAGGGCAGTGTTTCTCTTGACATTCAAGCGAACGCGTGCACTAAAGAATACGAGGCTTCTCGTACACGGGGTATTGTTCTGGATTTCGTATTTCTTCAGGGTTGTCTTGGCAACGAAAAGGGTTTGCCGCTAGAGGTGTGTGAAACACTGGGCAACAAAAAGCAAAATAACTCCCGCTTGTTTCATTCCATCACCCAGTTAAACCGGACTCTTTTACAACCTGCTGGGACGTTATTAGTGTGCTGTGTGTCGGGAGGGGCAGCACTAATTGGCATGGACTCCTTTGCTCCCCCCAACACTGTGATTTTGAAAACAGCAAAAAAATGACATTTTTCATTGGGAAATAATGTCTATCCAGACATCCTTACAAGCTCTGTTCCCTTTCACCCTTCAACTACCTCCTTCAGGAGTAGTCCCCTGGAACGCAAGGGAATTATGGATGGTTTTAAGCAAAATTAGTTTTTTTTTTTTTTTTTTTTAGTTTCAGTTATGGAAATTTTAAGTGTCTTCAGTGAAGTCAATGGGGTTACTGTGGACTGATCCCAGTATAACCGAGTTGGCCAATTTGCCCTGGTGTAAATGAATCTTTCCTTCATGAAGAGAAGAGATGTTGGACAGCTAATGCTACACCTGGTCAGCAAGCGAGTGGAAATGCCCTTCTGGCTCTGCTCCTTCCACAGACAACAGAGCTTTATTTGCTGTGGATGAGGTCCAGGAATTATTCTGGAAAGTTTTTGAAGCAACTTTAGAGGCAGTTTCACATCACTTATTCATGTCATTTGCCTTTATTTTTACTTACTGAAGGCATTAAAAAAAATAACCCAAACAGCTGTTCAGAATCCTCTATTTTTTATGTAGCAAAGGGAAAAAAAAGTCTGAACAGCTGTGTCAGTAAAACACAAGCCAGGTGGCCTCCCTAAGGCAAAGTTTGTATGAAATCTATAAGATAATGTTTTTATTATCTGAGTTATTGTATTTCTTTTTTATTACTTTGCTCTTGTGGATTCTTAAAGAGGTATTGGCCACTTACTTCTTATCTTCATCCTCTTCCCTCAGTGTTTGAGCTGCACCATAACTCAACACAGATGTTATGGTGATTCAGCCATCAAGGGTGAAAATCGCCCTTTCAGCACAATCCTCCTGAATTTATTTTGAGGACTTGCATGGAATTTAAGGCTGGGTAAAGAGCAATTTTACAGATCTGGCCTTTCTATGGGGAGAAACTCAGGCCATGGCACCAAACATCTCCCTGATGATGTGCAAGGGACTGCCCACGAAATGCTGGCAGAGGGAATTTTTTTTCCATGTTGTATAACTAAGTCACCTGAGATGCAGAGTTTTGTTCCAGCTCCTTGACAAGGTAGCTCGATCGTCCTCAGGCAGAGGCTAATGACTCACAATTACACAATAGTCTGAAAGAACAGTTGTTTTGTACTCCAATGTGTGAAACATTGGGGATTTGTAAGCTGCTAGCCAAATTCTCAGCCGGGCGGCGCTGAAATCTGTACAACCAGATAGCTTTACATCACAGTTACCCCACTACTGTCATCTCCGAGCATATCCCTACCGACAAAGGCTCATGAAGAACTTCCCCTACTGAGGTTTTGAATTCCTCAAGCAGCCCCCCATCCTGCACAGAGCAAATTTTAGCCTTCAAAGCTCTGGAGCTCCTTCTGTGCACTTGCTGTCACGGTCTCACCGTGTGAGGCTTCCACCCGCCTGCTCCGAGCCCCGTGTTTCACGACACCCCACTCCATCTGTGCTCCAGGCCATCACACCGCGGTCCGAACCCTAAGCCCTGTCCAGCCACCCAGGGCTCATCTGCTGAGTCCCTTCCATATAAATCCTTCTAAGAGAGTGCTTCTATTGCTATAAGGGAGCTTGCTGACTTATGGATATGTTTTCCATAAATCGCTTATTGATATTTTCTTCCCCGACTTCTGTCCTTGGATTATGAATTCTGTAAAAGCACTGAAGTGTCTGAAAATTGCCAGCCACATCACAGGTGTTACAGGAAATGATATTCACAATAAGAACAGCAATGATAATTGTAGTAATAATTAAATCATTTGTTGCTGTTATTATTCCTTCTCCTGTTTCTACAATATTTGACAAATATGGGCTCCAAACAGTTCCTGAGCCTGAAGAAACATTTTCAGGTGACACAGAGTGCAAAGAAAAGAGAAAACAGTTTTATATTATTACAAACACATATATAGCTAATATTGTTACATATTATTATATAGTGATTTTATATTAAATTATTTTGCTGAACTTTCTAATTTTTAAAGTTGCTTTTCAGCTTATAGCATAATGATAGTATATAGCTAAATACCTGAAATTTGTTTATATACCAGTAGGATTTTTTTCTTTCTCTTTTTTTTTTTTTGGCTTGAGAAAGAAAATATGTAAAAATGTCTGTATGTGAGAAGGACCATCTTCCAGGGGAAAACACAGCAGAATAACCACTGAGTCTAAAGGAGAATTTCATTCCCCTCTAAATCATTCCCTTTTGGTACGTTTTCTTCATATTTAGTATCTGGATGCAATTCCCTCTATATGTACTAAGCCCTGTGTTATTACAATTCCAGCATGATATATGTTCATTTGGAGTCTAACAAGATCATGAATCAGGAAATAGCATTGCACTTTATATTATGTATTTATTTATTGTGTTAGGATGAAATTTACCTGGGTCCAGAGAACAAAATTAGGCTGTTACAGCCCTTGGTTTCATATAAGCTATTTTCCTCTCAATGCCTATGCCCTGTGGACAGAAATTTATTTCACCGGTACTGAATGAGAATTCTCCCATTCTCTCACTGCCTCTAGGTATGATTTCTATACCTTTCCTCCTGCTTCCAATTTTGTATCCATTACTAGAATGCTTGAAAACATGAAATATAATACCAACAATCACAGAGTGAGAAAGTCTGCAGTGTGTAGGGAGTATTTTTTTGTTCCTATTCAATCCTTTTGTAATTAAAGAAATCCTGCTCAGTAATTTGCTGTCTTCAGTGACATTATCATACTTCTGATCTTAACCTTTCAGTTGAATTCTAGGGGCTGGTTGGCCATTAGAAAGAAGGACTATTTTGCAGACAGTTTATGGGATGCAGATTTGGAAGATCTCAGTTCTTCTCTGAAGTATGTCACACACTGAGCAATGAAAGACAACTTTAAATGGAATGTGTAATAATAAATGTCAATAATAAATGTAAAGTGGAAAATTACATCACAGAATATAAGAACTCAATGTATTCAATAACACAACAGTAATTATCTTTAATAATACTAAAAATATCAGTGAAAAACATTATGAGAACTTTGTTAAGTGTCCAAACGTGTTCTGATTGCTGTCTTTGGTAACTTTGCAAGAACTTAAGTCTCAAAGACTTGGAGTCTCTGTGAGATTAGCTAGTATTTGTACACAAAATGCAGGAGAGAAATTAAATGAACAAATGGAAAGTTGATCTCACATAGAAGAGTTATAAAATCATTAAGCAAGTAAAAGTTTATTCGGTTAATTGGCTAAGGCTCAGCAAGGATTTCACAACACTATCAGCAGGGTGTTGAAATATAAAAAAAAAAACCCCAAAACAACAACCCAGCAACCAAATGCTCAGTTTCAGAGAAGCACTCTCATTTAAGAAACACTCTCTTAAGTATTTCTTAGATAAGGAGCTGTTTATCAGCATGTATGTATGTTCTTCCTGGAATCAAGGTTCATGCAAGTTTTTTCACATACGCCAACATTCTCTTGGTGTTTTCTGACTTCTGCTCACTCAAGTGCCAGGAACACAGGAAAACTGGAAGTAATATGCATATTCAGTTATGAAGAGGTATGACATATAAATACTATTTATATTTACTTAGTGATTTGAGCTAAGATAGAGAGCATCAGAGTGTAATAAGTTAACCAACAGTAACTTCTATCACTTTTCCTTGTGCAGAGAGGAAAAAAAATCTCTTTAGAACATGGATGTATAGGAATATGTCAAAGCAGGAGCACAACAAAAGGTAGCTCATGCAACTGCTGATACAATAGAAAATTGGAAAGCTCTGAAATAAAACATAAACAAAATTGAGGTGTAGCCTATGTAAAGACAATGAAAGATGTGCTCTGGACATCCACTAAAAACCTAGTGTAATTTTATTGATCATGTAGTATCCTTTGAAACAGAATGTTTCTGAATTTCTCCTCTGTGATGTATCTTTTCTTAGGAATAGTCTGGCCATCTAGGAAATATTTCACTCTACCTTCCAGCACACACAGAAGTTTAAAAATAATGTAAATGTAAATACTTGCTCGTGCCAAACACTTCATTTGCCAAGAAGAAACGGTGCATTTTGTATCAGGATTACATTATAACCAAGATTAATTTTTGTGTTGTCTCTGGCAATTCTTTAACAAAAACACCTCCTGATGAAACACAACGTGTAAGTCACAGGTTTTGTATGTTCAGGGAAACTTCTCTCAACAGCTGACTTACAAATGTTCATACTAAACAAGCTGTACTATAACCTGCTTTTAATCTAACTGCCAGATACTACAGAGGTAATGTCTTGGGAGATGGCACCAGGTTTTTGAAGAAGGAGCTACCCAGTGATAAAGATCTTACGGAAAACCAGAACTATTTAACAAAACCAATAAATGAACATACCCCAAATTCTCTTAGGAGAAGGGAAATATCTCACCATTGCAATGTAAGGCAACCATCATCCAGTAAGAACTCAGGCCAAGCCTCAAGTGGTGCATCACAGCATGAATCATAAGGTTGTTTGGTGCAAATGCACAGATTCACTGATCAAAAACATGCCTGCAACTTCTGTATCCAGGTCTGCTCTCTTGCTTAGCAAAAGAAATCAACCTCCCTAAAAAAGCAACCATTTTATGTATCTACATTTGTATATGTAGATTCATCAATATTCAAAATCATCCACTATAAATTCAAAGATTAGTTCTGGGAACAAAACAGGCATCATCAAAACAGAAACCTAAGAAGAAATAAAAGGGAATAGAAGGGACAACTGACAAGTGGTAAAGAAATAGTGAGAAAATATGTGTGAATATGTTGGATCATTATCAGATGGATCTTCCCTTGCATCCAATTTTAGTTACTTTTGAGAATAGTCATGTGACTAAAAATTTGCTCACGGCTGTCATTCTCAAGACACACTACGTGCAAGATTCAGCCTGGAAAGCAAACGAGCAGGAGTATCGTGCACCGTTTGAGTCTTGTTGACTCCTACCATGGCAAAACTTTTTGATTAGAAGTAAATTTCACTGACTTTGAGTAATGCGTCAGACTCTCCTTCCAACAACCAAATGATACTTTTCTGAGTCAAATGTAGTTTATAAGGCTTGTCATTAAGCATGACTGAGATGACCAATCACACCACATGAACATGGACTCATCACCACTAAGCGATGTCAAAAAAATAACCACATCAAGAAAACCAAAAGCTTAAAATTTGGAACAGCACAGAGACTGAAAAACTTCAGTTTCTACACAAGCAATTTGTCAAAAGAAAAAACACTAAATTTGACAAGGAAATTCTTTTGCTGAAAAGTAAATGCTCAGTTATACGATTACATTGCTGGTGTTCCCCTGCTCCTCTTCTTCCTCCTGAGTTTCTATCTAGGAAATATTTCCAGAACTTGCTGGTTCAGTTACCTCTTTCAGTCTTGGCATTCAGAGGTTCCAGCAACAAAGCCTTGTTATTATAAATACTTCAGCTATAACATTTCTAAGGAAATTAGACAGAGTATCATAATCTCCTGCTGACTCTCACCTAGCAATTTTAAATTCTCTAGTGTGGGAGAAGACTCCGAGGTCAAAACACTAATTTTATTATTTCATTAAAAGCAAAAGAGGAAAATTAGGATAAAAATTTCAAAGCCTGGGAAGTCAGGTAACAGCAAGACGAGAGAGGATGAAAACCAGCACTGCATCGATGACTCTGGAAAATCCCAAGTCAAAGTACATCACAAATTTTATTTTGGTACAACACAATGATAAACAGTACACTTGGATTGCACAGACTTTTAAAAAAAGTTTTTTTAACCTTTCTCATTTATTCTTATACTTGAATAACAGCCCATTCCTGAGTTTGCAGTCATGCAAATTCTCCTCACTCGCACGTAAAGTTACATTGGCTTCCAGAAGATTATTTCTCTGAGTACAGACATCAACCCTGAACATTACCTTCTGGCCTTCAAACTTGTCATGTAATATCTAGTATTTAGATATTAGCTACTATCTAGAAATTAGCAGTTTTCACGTAACCAAAGTATTTCATTGCCTCGCAGAAGTATATGCAATGAATCAGGGGTAGCATGAGAGATGCTCTGTCACTCTCTCTTGCACTCAGCATTACTTTACAGAATAATATAGTATCAAAGATAATATCCAGCCTCTGGAACAAGCAAATCACAGACTAACTAATACAGAACATTAAAGCCAAAAGTAATTTTCCCTGCCCCCCTCGAGAACTGTAACCAACACTATAGAAAAGGCTGAATGAAATCTTGCTGAGTCCTGTGTGGAGCCCAGTTGCAAGCCAAAAGTGATGTAAGATTTGCCTGGAGTTTGAACCGAGCCCTCTGCATTCTTCTGAGAGCTCACCATTAAAAGAAGAATAAATGTTAGCAATAAAAAGTCCAAGAGAATGAACATCTGAAAGCCTAGTCTAAAGATCTGCAAGGGACCTCATAAATACATAGTAAACATCCTCACTGATGGATTCCCCAGAGGAGAAAAATTCTACATTACCCACATAGCACATTTTTTGCAAACCATTTCTTTCTGTCTGGATACAAAGAAGTGAAGCAGAGCATTTAACATATAACTGGTAAAATTCAAAGTTTAAAGCCAAGGAAAACATCCAAGATTAGAGCTGCTCAACAAAATCATCTTTCTCTTCACATAGTTTTCTTTTTATTCTTATAATTTGTTGATGAATCAGCAAATGAGACTCTTAACTGTCGGTACTGTTAGATATCATGACTTTGGGTGCACAAAGAGAAATTAAACAGTATGGGCTTGAATCACATCAACACTACAGGCAACTGCTGTGGGTTTTGCCACCCAATGTGTTGGTAAGGGATTAGGGTGTTTGCTGTCGATTCATACTCTGGTGCCCTAAGCTTTGAAGAATGTAGTAGGTCCTGGCAATTTTTGTTGGCTCAGGTCCCTCATACATGGGCCGTATGTGACCAAGAGTAGCTTCTCATGAAGAACACAGCAGAAAGTCGAGCGTGCTCTGCCACAAAGCCCCTGGGAAGAGGGGTTTGTTGGCACATCCCTACCTTCAAGCAAGCAGCTAGCAGGGGTGCAACTTAATAGTTATTCAGCTCCAGGCAAAAACGGCATAGGTCTCTTCTAAGGCAGACTCTGAAAGCAAAATTACAGAGTATATGACTGGCATGTACAAAAGAGGAAGACAGGAGAAAAACGTACCAAAGACTATGCACAGACAGAACTGGAATATTGCTCTGTTACCAACAGCACTTACATATATAGGATACACACATATAGGATTCTGTTTCTCCTCCTGGCCTTCAGCCCTCGGTGGTGAAACAGCTAATGCTCTAGGCTACAGCAGTCCATCCTTTTTCCAGCTGGTCAGATACCAGCTGAGGGACCCTCATTAGCACCGCATAGCTCTAGTGACAAGGACATGCAAGTCGAGTTTATGCCTGCACAGGGGTGCTTGAGGTGGCCTTTAGCTGCTGAAATTCCTACTGTCCTCACATCTACTCCTTGTCGTCTCCTAGGTCACAGCAGAAAAAGATGTGTGCGAAACAGAGCTGGCCTGGTCACGGACTACCTCTTGGGGTCCATCATGTTAAGACCCTATATCCTGGAGCTGAAGTGAGATAATCTATGAGAAAAGGGAATGAAAACACGCATCTAAGAGAAAAAAAACTGGCATAAACCTGATAGTACAGCTAAAGAAAAAGAAGTGACAACAAACAAGCTCTGCAGTCAAGGAAAGGGTAAAATCTTGGCCCTACTGAAGTCAGTGAGATGTTTGCCAGAAAACTGTAGACAGCTTGTTTTATCCAGGATTTTTAATTAGTGATTAAATGATTCAATGGCAAGTTGGCTGTTTTAAGAAGGAAAAAATCATAGAATAGCTCCAGCATGCCTCTCCCTGCCCCGCCTACCCCTTGGGAGGTACAGATCATACACAGCTTTTTTTATGGGAGATTTGACAGGTATTTCATTGAACCTTAGTTGAAATCTGTAGTTTCCCAGGCTCTGCCTCCTTCCCCAGTTTGGGGATGAAGATAGGAAACACCTGCTAATGACACCAGAGACATAGCAAACAGCAGAAGTCATGTATCAGCAGAAAGCACAGTGGAAGCCTGGCCTCTCCAGTACAGGGACAATCTATCTTATGGTTGATAGTATATATGAAGAAATAAGATGCTGCGTTCATTTAATTGACATATATTTGAATGGATTTGAATTATTCCAGAGTGACATACCCACAAATAAATAAGGCATCTCGCCACCTTAAGGCATAAGTCACTTTTGTTAAAAGCCCTGTGACCCAAATGATCTATTCACACCACACACTTCTCTTATTCTGCTTGATTTTTCTGCTTTTCTCAGTCTGCTTCTGCTTTTCACTCTCCAAAGTACACTGGTTTCTATGGAAACAAAACACGTCATCAGTATGGACAGAACTTGGTGACATCCCCAAGTGCAGACAGAAAATGCAATTTAAATAAGCATTTTACAATTTCTAACATGAGCTGAGGAAGGCGATGGGCGATTATCCTGTGCACGTGTGTGTACATGTGTTCACGTGGGCGGCTGCCCATGCACGCATGCACGCACTCACTCCTTCTCGCCACGCGATTTACACACATGCAATGCCACCGGCTTCCCGGGACAGCATGCAGCAGAAGCCTTGGCAGAATCCATCCCACCCTATTCTGTTTTAATATAGCTGAAAATTGCTTTGACAGCTGAATAGCTTCTTTGTTTATAACTCGTTCTTAGCTGACTCTGCTGCATTATGTAGCTTTGTAAAGAGATTACTTTGTCAAGAACTGAACATATATGGTCTGAGCTTGAACAATTCAGCATGATGAACTGCATTCATTTTATATGACGTACAGGGCTGCAATCCTGCTGCCTTTAATGTGTCTGCTTTTCTCTGTGGGTTCCGTTTTCTCATCTTAAGTGTTTTTTAAATTTTCTTGAATTTGGTCTTTGGGATTATCTTCTTTACCATTTCCTGGACAGATGCAGAGAACTTTCAATATGTCAAATGTCAACACATTGTATCTTGCCCTAAACGTTGTACAGAACCAAGTTTTTGGCTGTGTATAACAGGAGTTCGTTATTATACAGTTAGCTAATTATCCACCTGCAAATATCCTATTCCTGCCCTAAACTGCTACAGTTTTGTTAGTAGTTGAATTAGTATTTCAACACAGCGGTGCCCCAGCAAAGGTTTAGAAAATAGACCCCGCTATAGGCAACACCATATGGAACATATACAGCTTCTTACCTTGTCCCTTCATCCCCAGCCCTAAAAGCAATCCTAAATAGGCAGATCTACAGGACTTCAGTACAGCTGCATGAGCCAGTCCCTTGTCTTTACAAAGCCTTATCAAAAATATCAAAGCAAACCCAGCCTGCACAGCATTACTAGCCCTATCAGGGCTTGCACTGTGCACTGAACAAACTTTGCAGGCTCCGCTGGCCATTGCCTTTAATGCTGTTTGAGTTGACTGTACTGGTGGTCTTTTATCACTGTTGCAGTTTCTACTTCTAGCCATGGCTTGCTTAGAAATTACATTATTTCAGATTCACTTTGTGCCCTGCCCAGAGGCACAACACAGAGTCAGGGCATTTTTCTCTGGTTTCTCCTGGCTTTTTCCTCTTTCCTTCCCTCAAGTTTTTAAATAAACACCATTAATTCTGATGGATAGATGATATGGTCCAGTATAGAGATGACTAAGAACATAAATTGTCCTGAAGGCAAAATTCCTATCGGCTTCGCAGTAGGTATTACATTGATCTTTCATGGGCTGAAGACTGAAATCTTTACTTAGAGACATCACTGGAGTCTTTTCTTGTGCAGGACACAGAGCTGGGCCTTGAAACATCTTGCATTTCAACAGTTTTTGCTCAGCCCATAAACTGGCAGAACTCTGATTTTCACTACGCCCTGCATTTTGCACTCGGTGGTATTTTACCACTTCTGAAAATACCAACCTTCTCTAAAAACAGAGGGGAAGTTTGTCAGACAGACAAATCCCTCCTTATCTCTTAGTCATAAGCATGATCCACTTCAGATGATTTAAAGAGCTTCGTACATATTAACCTTTAAAACAAACAAAAAAAAGAGACAAGAAAAAGCCTTTGCAAATCACTGTTTGAAAACAGAAGCTGCAGAAAGATTCCTCACAACCTTATTTGCTCCCACTCATAATCCTAATGTGCACATATTTCACAAGAGTTGGCACGCTATGTGCTAATTTGTTGAAAAAATATATATTTTTTTTTTTTTAAATTCACCATCTGTATGGAAGTTCTTTGTACTAGAAACTAGTGTCTTGACTAATGAATTCCTTATCTTCCACCCCTTTGGCAAATGATGGACTGCTGTCTATCACTGACAAAAAAAATGCTAATGACCATGCAATATTCAGGTAAATGATGAAAGGCCGCACAGGCGGTTTAGAAACAATTATTCCTGTTGTACTGGGAATTTTCAGATTTAGCAAGAAGTCATGAGATCGTCAGAGAGTCAGTAAATTTCCACAGATGGTTTCTGTTCTTCACCCCCCCTTGTGGCAAACCTGGCTGAACCACCAAACATGTCTCAATCAGCCTGCAACCTGCTCTGCTGCAGGAGCCCTCGGAAAATCCCAGGCCAGCAGACACCAGCTGTATCAGGTTATGACTGGGACCAATAACGGCAGCAGTGATTTGCACTGTCACTCTTTGTGTGCATTGGTGGGAGGGGGTTGAAGTCAACTGGATGAAATACACCAAAAGCATTGTGCAAAAAAAGAACACGAGAGAGAGAAAAGGATAGTCATGGTTTGCAGAGGAGATGCAAATGATTTCTGGGATCAGAGGGCCTCAATATGGAGAGAAAATGAGAAGTAGAGAGGGGAAGGAAGGCGCGTCACCAACTCGCAGCATGATCTTTCTGAAGTAAATAATACAGCTTTGCACATGCTAAGTGTGCCTTGCACTTTCCTTCAAGGAGAGTTCCATATTGTTAATATTCTAGATGGTGGATTTCCATGTTCATATATCTTCTCTTTTCAGTGCTGCTGGTGCCTAGAAATATGAGTTTAAGTCTCCAAAAACATCTAAAATCCTTGCCTTCGATTCTAGTCTTAGTTGTTCCCTGTCAGTGTATGGATGAGACTATCCTTCTATAAGGTAATAGTTAATAACAAGCTAAATATCTCCCACCTAGAGGAGCACCTGCGGGTCACTGAGTGTCAGTCTACAATCATGTAAGAAAACATGAGAGCTTATTAAAGGCCACTTTTCCAAAAAGCACCTTAATTTTGGGCCCTGACAATGGATCACCGCATAACTCCTTTTTGACCAAAGACATGTAACTCAGATTAGGTGCCTCAATTTGGAGAAACACGAATGTTTTGAGAACAATATCAGTCAAGAAATTACTTGACTGATAATAAAATTCAGAGGAATGTTCTGCAATTTAAGGAGGCAAGTAACAATGCAGCAGAATCAGGCAGATCCAACCATCAGTGAAATGATTAATTTACTCCAAAGGGCGTATGGCCTTTTTGTGTTTTCTCTCCAGGACTGTGCCAGGGAATACGTTAGACAGTGAACTCCAGGCTCATACCGCTTCTGACTCCCCACTGGCTCAGCAAGCGTCAGATCATTGACTTGCATCAAGCTCCTCACAGATATGAGTATACATTTACCCAGAAAGGCGATCTTGTACTTTCTGATTTCCAGAAAGATGACTAAAAATGCAAGGGCTGATGCTATTAGCAGATAGATACTTTCCTTGTTCAGAGTGCTTTCAGCCTTTCATACCTCTTGGAAAAGTGGGTACGGTGGGAGCAGAATCACAGGCCCAGCTCTCGGTGCCCATATGCTGATAGAGGTAAAGGTGCTGGGCATGGGCATATAATTGGGATTAGCAGGTCAGACCACTACAGATCAAAGGATTAAAGACTGCATCTGCAGAGCTGAATAACTCAAGGAAGTCCAAGGCTATTGCAAATGGATCTTTACTGTCAATGACAAGTTTTTCATAAAGATTGGCAAGCTTTCTGTGGATCTCAGCCAAACACTTTCTAAAAGAAACTTTAGAAATCCTAAAACAGGAAGAATCACCCCAAAGAAGCTTCGATGTGGTTTCCTTTGATAAG